CCTGCTGACTTGGTCAAAATAAGATTCAATTGATCATTTATAGATTTATAGGCTTCATTTATAGGCTTCCCTTAAATTGGAGAAAACCATAGTGCATTTGTTTTTGCTCTGACAGTAAATACTGTATATCTGATTTATTTATCCACATCTCTTCTTTCTCCCCTTCCTTAACCTCCCAAGCCCTGTGAGTTAAATTTCACTTTGGGGTAAGAAGCAAATCCCATTTACTTGTCAAATTTCCCTCAAATGAGATAAATTGCGTTAGTATCGCAAAACCTGCTTACATCAAAGGAATGAGAGAAGAGGGAGTTCCGCTGTGAATCTATCAACGGAAATTAATTATCCATCGTAAATGAAATGAGTACACCAGGGATTGTCCACGTGAGATCAATGGAGCAATTTAAAGGAGGTTTATGAGTTAGAGGAGGTATGTGTATGTGTATGTGTGTTTGTGTGTACACACAGTCACATATTCACATACTGGTGAGGACTAGAGGATAAAAAGGTGGCAGAAAATCTCTAAAGTGACTTTGCTTCAAGGGCTTTATTCTTATAGTGGAGGTACATCAGGATTAGTCTTAAATACAGTGCTAAGGTTTGAATAAGGCTACACTAACACTACATGCTGAAGTGGACCAAATTGGGAGGGGGATGGTAGATTGGAATTCATGTGGGTTTTTAAATGTCTGACTCCTCTGCACATATCACCTGCCATCATCATTCAGCGTCAGAGACCAGTAATAGTAAACATGGAGGAGAGCAACATCAGCGACAGGGGTCAGTGGAGGGACAAGGACGTTTCATATTTGTTGGACATTTATGGAGAAGCTTCTGATCAAGCCGAACTAGAAGAAACATGTCGTAACACAAAACATAGGGCTCAATTTTCCTGCCACTGCAAAGCTGGGACATCTTCAAACAGTCTTTATGCAGTTTTTCTTAAAAATTTAGACCTGTGTTTGCCACTGTGCCCTGTTTCACGAAGTCCATAGGACATGGAAAGTAAAACAATGATTACAGAACATTTATAGAAGATAGGCGGAAAAGTGTGCATATTGACTGTACAGGTGGTTTGAAAGCATGTCATGTGGGTGTGTTTAAATCCAAGAAGGTCAGGAAATAAGTATTTATGAGGTAAAGGGAGCAAGGGGGAAAAGAGTGAAGAGAAAAAAGTCACTCCTGTAAGATTATGATAATCTTTAACTCACCTTTTTACCTGAAACGTGACAGAAATAGTTGAAGAGAGCTCCTTTCTCACCCCTGCACAGCGAGCCAATCATTGTGTTAAGTAGGTGTGAATATCAGATTGTTTGATTCAAGAAGTTACTGAAATGACTGGAAACAAAGCCCCTAACTTCAATGTTAGAAGGGTGTAGGGGAAGAGGCTTCTGAAACTATCTGATCATCCAACATGCAGTTCAGACAAAGCAGCATCTTAAGGATGGATTCATGAATCTAGCATGTGCTGCTTTACTGGCCAGTATCCTTAGGAATAATGTCCTTACTGGTTGATTCTGCACCTCGCAGTGCCAAAGCAAGGAATCATGTGGTCTACACAGTATGCAGCAAGGCAGGAAGTAGTTCCTAGTTAGTAGTAAGATGACATGCCCAGACACTGTTGAAAGCAAAACATTCTGAAAATGTTGGTGTGTGACTGATTGTAATCTGAGGTGTTTTTGTCTGGTGATGGAGTTGATTAATATGTAGCAAAGATAGTGTGACTAAAACAAAAAGTATGTCCGATCAAAGTGAACCAGAGGGAAACAAAGGTTGGTTTTCAAGACATGAACAAAATGAACAAATCACATGACATACTGCCTGACCATATTACTGCTACAGAACCAAAAGACTCCAGAAGCCAATATGCTGGAACAGCACAGGACTGTGTGAATAACAGCCACAGCGCAGGGAATTAGCACAAATGTAAATAAAGCACGGCATTTGCTTTTAACAATAGCACTGTGTAAAGAATGTGACCAGAGGAAGGGATGATGCTCTATGCGTGTGTCTCTGGGTGCGTGTATGGACACATCCTCTATATAAATCAGTGGGTCCTGTCATTGTAATAAACACCGGTGGCTCCGCATATACTCTTTCAATCGGGAGTGGGAAACAATGGAATGGATTCCATCTGTGGCTCAATGGGAAGGCGGCTGAAACAATGAGGAGCTGATAAAATGTGTCAGTCACTGGTGTAAACCCAGGCTGATGATATGGAGCAGCAGTCAATTACATAGTTCTATTACAACTTCAAAAGGTCCCAGCTGTCTCTCCCTGCATCATTATCAGCTAAATTAGCCATCTTACAGCCATTCTTGGATGCCCACAGAATATTTTTACCCACTGATGTGTCTCGGACTGTTTGGAAATGAGATTGTGTGTTGTGCTGAAGTTCTGGTTTAAATTCAGAGAGCAATTGCTTTCTCTTATCGCAGAGGCTGCCATCTTATGTTGGTCACAAAATATTGCATAAGTGCTGTAGATACTTATGCAAATAGCCTTGCACCAGTATGAGACAGTAACGGTTGTGCAGTTTAAGCTATGAACCCCCGAAATGCCAGAACTCAGGAAAAACAGCTACAGTATTTTTTTGTTTGTTTGTTTTTTGTTTGTTTGCTTGTTTCAGCTCAACTCCCTTCGGTCCTAAATGCTTGGTAAAATGTTTTCATGTTTCAAAACCACTATACAACAGGGGTCACCTTTTCATTCATTATGGCTTTATAATATTTTCCATCATTATTTCTCTCTTAAGTCACGATTCTGTAGAAAAACATTTTTTTCTGGCAATAAAAACACAATAAAATAATTCTGCTTTAGCTAGCAACAAGCTAATACTGTATTTAACTGTATGTGGCTTTAGGTGAATTATCTGTAACATTTAGTGAAAAGACATGATTTTTGTTTTGTGTTTTTATAAATTTTTTCTTGATTTTTTCTAGCAGACCGTTGAAATCTGAAAACACATTTTAGAAGAAAATGGTGTACTATTCTGGCAGCCAGGGTGCCAGAATATTCCCATAAAATTATGAAAAATAACCATCTTCTAAAAATACAGTAATTTCTCATAATCTTAAATACATTTTTTCCTTTTAATTTTAAATGAAATCTTGTGTATTTAAAAGATTTTTCATGTTAAAAAAGATGCTAACCTTTAAAGCCCAGGAATTTTCCCTGTTATTTTTGTTTATTTTATTATTTTTATTTTTGTATTTTACCATTTCCATGTATCGGATGTTGGAAATACTTTAAAGTCTTTAAAATAAACAGGAAAATTCAGTAAAACTATACAGTGTACATATTACACAAGCAAACAAGTGCACAGAGTACACATCATTACGTAGAGGCTCTTATTGAGACTGAAAATAACTTAGACAATCACACCTTTATCAGGGTGTTGAAGTCTTGTTGCAGCTGTACCCACATTGACATGCACACACACACACACACTAGAGGTTTGACAAGGCATGTAGTGGATGCTCTTGTTAACAGTGAGACGAACAGCAATACACACAGATACTCACCATGGTGTTGAAGGTTTGCTGCAGCTGCTGCTGCCGCTGCTGCAGGAGCAGACCGCAGGCCACACAGTCCTCTTGGCAGTCGCTGCATCCAGGCGTGAAGAGACATGCCAACAGCACCACCAGGCACCACAAAGGGATCTTCATCGCTCAGCGCACCCAGACAGGCAGGGACCAACAGGAGCCTTAGCAAGTAGCTGAGGGGAGTCAGAGGTCAATGGCAGGAGAATCTAGGAGATGATGTGGGTCCAGTCTATGAGGAGAAAGTAGACGGAGTAACAGGAATGTTGCATCATTTCAGAATAATAAATATCATTAACTTGGTTTGGATGATCAGTCAAAGCGTTGGTGGTTGGTGAGTATTCAGCCAACGCTAGGAGATTGACAGTGTGGGTGGGATGGAGAGATAGCACAACCTCAGGCAATAAATGAAAAAATGGGTATTTTCCAGTGGGCAGGAAGCAGCTACCGTAGGCTAGAGAAATCATACAGCACGGATTGGAAATCTGATCTATGGTTGTAAAGATTATCTTTAAACCACAACAAGACTATGGCAGCCTGTGGCAGCAAGAATCCAGAACAATTCAATTCAGTCCCAGTCATGAAGAGGGAGAAGGAGAGAACTATATGTCATTTTCAAACTAGATAATGCACCTGAAGTAAAGAAATAATTGGATTTTAACACCTGATGTAGTAAAGCCAAGTCAAAAGACATGGTTCTGTAAAGGGTGATAACTGCTCCTGTCTCTGGCTCCAGCCACAAGTGTATGAATCAGGTGTGCTGTTTTTGTTGTTTGACCTCCACTTCCTGACCCCCATCATTTAGGTCACACACCTCTATAAAATCCAATATCACCGAGATAACAAAGAAAAAACAGACTCTCAGAACATCGCAGATTGCTTTTGCTGGTAGGCTGCTGCCTGAAATCTCAGTAAAGTAAAGCATTACCTGTATGTACATACACTGTACTGTGCATGCAACCTATAAATCATACTGTTATTAAACACTATCTAATTCATTGTTAGGTAATGTTAAACACTAATAAATTCAAAGTTCTTTTTGTGCACCGTTCAGACCATTTCGTGTCAACATAAGAGAAGTCATTCTACAGATATTGAGATGATTAACTTTAATATTAATACAACTGCATCACATTCAAAAGGATTTGATGTGTATCAATTCTGAATTACAATGTAGAGGATTATTATTATATATTATTATTAACAGTAGATTTGTTATTTTGTACTCAATTTCTATAATAACAATAAAGCTAAAGAATAAAAACGATGGATAAAACATTAAGGTTTGCAGTTTATAAATGAAATCTACATTTACAATTGCAATGATAAGGGCTATTATATACAACATTAAGAAAAAGGTTTTCAGTGTTTTGTTGAGCCACACGAGCCTCCATCTGCTCAAATGGAATACACACATTTTCACAGGTGTGATGAAACGAGTGGAGGAAGTCACGGCAACACGGCACAATAATCCCACAATAAAGAGGAGAGTGAATGCAAACCTTTGGCTATAAACAAAGTAGGTGTTGTATTATTGGATGCACTGAAGCAAAAATAAATAAATACTTTTAAAAACTAGCACATCATTTCCACTTTACCACATTACCACTATTAGTCAATAGCACATGAGCCAGGTCGTGTGTGTCTTTGGCTCCATTTGGAAATATATAAATGGATTTATGGGAAATCATTAGAGGGACCTGTTTGTTAGCCTTGCTGAGATGTTCTGTGCAGTGATTATTTACCAGCCTGCTGACTATTATGTTCTCCATTAAATGCCTCTTACTAAGATGAAAAAATTAGCAAACCAGAACAAAGCAAGTGATGGTACAGGCCCTGGGTATGTGCCAGTACAACAAAAATGTGGCTTTTACACATTAATACCATTCTTTCAGAGTATACTGATATAAATTGGTCTTTGGAGCCACTATGAGCTTTTTGGTCAACATTATTCTTAATGAACAAAGTTGAGCTATGTCTGTCCTGTTTAATGGTTTCAAAGCTTTGTAATTAGACAATAGATGTCCATTTGTTCATTTCCACACATTCAGATGATCATATTAGAATACTGTGACTTAGGCTTTTAGTTAAACATTATGGAGATAGTATCAGACCATGTGAAATACAACATGTTATGACTATCTCAAATGAAGCTTTTATAAGCCTTGGAAAGCTTGTGCTTTTATTTCAATTTATCAGTATTTTTAATATTACTTTATCACTATATTTTGTATTCATTTGTAAGATAACCCCCCGCATACTCAGCAACACTGTGTCAGCTGAATCCTTCAGGTTTCTGGGATTTGCAATCTCCCAGGACAGGCAGAGGATGAACTTCCTCCAGCAGCCCAGGAAGTTCAACCTGCCTCAGAAGCTACTGACCCACTGTAATCATGAAGTCTGTTCTCTACACATCCATTAGCCTACTGTCTGCTCTGGTTTGGCCACTAAACAAGACAGGAACAAATTACAATGGACAGTCAGGACTGCAAATTGTTGCTGACATGCCCACCATCAAGGGCAAAGAAAGCAGGCTAGGAAATTCACTGCGGACTCTCACAGCCTGGACACAGCCTGATCCAGCTCCTCCTCTTCTCTGGCCCCTACCTCATATCTTTTATATTTTAATGTTTTACTTAAATATCTTATATTCTATATATTATGCTATAAAACTATATTTTTCACCAACTTTATGTAAATATCTTTTGATACATTGTGAGTGAGGTAGCCAAGTGAGAGTCAATCGTGATTATTAGGATGTTTAAAAAAAATTTTTTTAATCTTTAAACATATTGGATTAAAATCTAAACCTCATATTACCTGTCTTCTCAATTCTCTACAACTCTTTAGTGATTAGTGAGTTACTGGTACATAAACTAATCAGCCTTGTCCAAAAAGAAAGGGGAAAGCTAACTACAGCATGTTAGCATGTAAGTTAGCATTTAGCTCAAAGCTTAAGTACAGTGTCACAGAGTGGCTGTAGGCTGCAGGCTGTTAAGACCAACTACAATACTGAATACTGACATTAGTTTTGTAAAATCCATTTATAGCTCTCTTGTTGCTCATCGAAGGAAAATATTAAAGCAGCTTTACTCAAAATACCAAATCCTACGAGGCACAGTTACAGCAGTTAAAAAACACTCAAAAAACATCATTTATTTGTACCTTAAAAAGTAGGTTTAGAAGATTAGATGAGACAGGTCATTGGTGATCTATGAAGGTCAGCTTTTCAGAAAATGCATCCATGGTTTTTGGTTATCACACTTTCCTTAGCTTGCCTTAGTGGGCTGTCCCCACACCCCTGCTCATGACCCCAAAGGGCCAGAAAGAGTCAGTAACTAATAACTTGACTCTGTGTGACACCTTGAGCCATGAACCTACCACCCCTATCTGCTCTGTTTTGGTTTTGAGTCCATTCTTAGTTTTGACCATTGGTTCATTTTAGGCAGTAATGTCTATGAATTTACATACTACTGCAGTTATCTTTAAACTCTTATATTATTTGCATAATCTATCTGACAGAGCAGACGGCTGACCAGGCTGATATATTATGTACAGTACACAGATAAAGTAGTGATCGCAGGGGAGGGACACCCTAGACACCAGGCTTTCCTCCAAGGCACCAAGACAGCATAATCCGTTAGGGAAACTGGGAACTCATGACAGGAAGAGTTGCATTTGAAAACAGATCTTCATCATTCATAAAAAATAGACAGCTTTGCCCTTTAAATGGACAATAACATGAAAGCAGAAAGAAAATAGAGCATAGTTAAAGGCCTCTACTTCTAGATGTCTTTCCTTTTTGCATAAATGAATGCTTTTACCCACTTTTTCCCAAAACGAATATGCAGTGTTGTGCTGAAAATTAACGTGTTTTTTATAAAAAAATGTTTTTCACTATGAATCAAACAGGAAGCCATCAGAGCATTTATAGACAGACCACTGGTCTTATGCATTTGGTTTAGTTTTCCTTTTTGTCAGAGCCTAAAATATATGAGCACAAAACAACCTGGACTAATGTTCCACCTGTTTACTGTCCCCTTATGAACTGGGGGGGAAATTGTGGATTCGGGTGGGAGCAGGGGAGTTTTTTTCTTTTCAATACTTTTTCTCAGATTTATTTCATATTTCATTCTTGCCTTGTGAGCTAAGATTTACTGTAAAGAAGGAGTGTACACAGGGGCATGTGACCACATTCAAAGGACAGCCATCCTGTCTCTTTCTCAGGGGGTTACGTTTTCTCATTTGTGACTTTAAGAACAGTTTAGTTTGCAGCTTTTTAAAACAAAGAATGGCTAGATTTTTTGTGTGCCATTTTTGTTTGTCATAAATATATTGTTTTTAAATATTAGAAAAAGAAAATTATAGTGCCACCCCCCCAAATCAAGGAAAGGGTGCAAGAAAATATAAAGGGAAAGCCCTTTTGGAATAAATGCTGCTGTTGTGTAATACAGAATCTTCTTTATTATATATTTCTTTACCCTTTGTTTTACCAGGAGAAAATCCTACTGAGATTAATAACCTTTTTTTGCAAATGAGTCCAAAACATGACCTACAAAACCTGAATGGGGCCTTAGGTAAATGGGTGAACTATGGGCATGGAAATGACATCTGGAGCTGGAAATACCAGAGAAAAAAAATGGACGTAATATGAAATCTGGGAAGAAGATGAGACCAGGCAATTTTCCAGTTGATTCATTTAAAAAAAAAAAAGAATGTGAAATTGTGGAAATGTTTCTGCAGGGATTTCAGAGCAGGAGCCTTCAAGATTCTCTAAATAGTATATTGTATACATACTTCCAAAACCAGCGAAAGCCTCTAACGAATGTGGGATAAAAATGGATTTATCATGAGATCCAATTTAGGAAGATGTAATTAAAATCTGGTATGATGAGACAAAATATCTGAAAGACCAAATGTTTTGGTGTAATATGTGGTATAATGAGTTTTTTACACCAGGAAGTCTTTTGAAGAACTGAGGTCACAGTATAGACTAAATGTCTGGAATGAGGACTCAAAATCACACCCAGGTAATAAAATACACACCTAAAACTAATAAGATATAACTGGCTAATATGAGCATATGTAGTTCTTGTCAAGTTAAATCATTATCACAAAATATAATAGAATTTTATTAAACCCTTACTGTTTTTATTGAGCTCCTATGCAGAAAAACACATTATAGTAATAATGAACACATATTGAATGGTGTCAATTTTCTAAATGTAAAAA